TGCTGGCTGCAGTGATGCGCACGCCTCGTGCTGGTGGCAGTTCTTCAGCATCACCCTGCCCTGCAAGAGATGGCAGCAGACAGCAGGTGGGGATGGGCTGTTTGTAGCCTCTGCTCCAGTGCTTGGGAGCAGCAGCACAGCGGCGCGGGGCCAGGTGCAGAGCTAGCTGTGCTCGTGGTGCCTGCAAACACTGTGCTGGCGAGTGGGATGCCTGCACCCCGCAGGGCTCCCTTCCCAGCAGCTCATACAGTCATAGAATGGCTTTGGTTGGAGGGGATCCAGTTCCAACTCCCTGCTGAGGGTTGGCTGCCCCCTACCAGATCAGGCTGCCCAGAGCCCCATCCAAGCTGGCCTTGCGTGTACCAGCTGCACCACTCAGCTTGGTGTCATCTGCAGGCGTGCTGAGCGTGCACTCGATCCCGCTGTCTGTGTTGTTGACAAAGATGTTGAAGAAGAGTTATCCCAAGAGAAACCCTGGGGGACAGCACTTGCCATCAGCCTGCACCCAGACATAGAGCCATTGACCACAACCTTCTGTCTCCAACCAACCAATTCTTTATCCATATCAGCTTTCAAATCCATCCCTCTCCAACTTAGAGATAAGGATGTAGCACAGGACCGTCTCAAAGGCCTTGCACAAGCCCAGGTAGATGACATCAGTTGCCCTTTTGTCTACCAAAGCCATCACTCCATCACAGAAGACCACCACACTGTCCCACTGGCGGCTCAGAGCCCACCCTGCCATGAGCCATTGTGTAAGGCCCAATGTCCCCTGGTCCAGCACCATATTGAGGACATCCTCCCTGCAGAATGAGAGCTCCTGCTGCCCTGAGACCCTCCTCACCCCTGTGGCCGAGGGGTGGCAGGGCTCAGTCCTGCTGGAGATAGCAGCCAGCTCCCTGTGTCCCAGCAGGGACCATCCCTGCAACTCGCTGCTGCTGCTGACCGTGCCACCAAGAAAGAGCAGTGGGGTGGCAGCAGCTGCCCCTATTTCATTCCTGCCCCGCTAAATGGAGAGGATGGGCTTTATTTGGCCCCAATGCCAGGCTGACATGCAGCGCAATTACTGCTGATTGCCTGCTGGTTGCCATGGCGATGGCAAGCATGCAGGGATGCGGTGCTGCGTGGCACTTGAGTCATGGGCACGCTGTATCCCCCGTCCCCTACCCGTGTGTGGGGGGTGCAGGGGGCGGCCGTGGGACCCCAGCCCAGCACCCCACCACTGGCAGGTCCCACAGGGATCTGGGTGGAGACGGAGCTGCCACCTGTGGGGTTACTGAGGGATGGTGGGATGGATGGAGGGTGCGTGGGGTGGGGGTGCAAGGGGTGGTGGTATGGAATGGCTTAGGTTGGAGGAGACCTTAGAGATCATAGAGCTCCAACCTCACCCCTGCCGTAGGGCTGCCACCCCAGCTCAGGCTGCCCAGGGCTCCTCCATGGCCTGGGACACTTCCAGGGATGGCACCCGCAGCTCTGGACTGTGCCATCACTTCATTGTCCCCTGAGAAGAGAATTTACATCCTTAACATCTTGCCTAATCTTCCCTCTTTTAGTTTAAAGCCATCCCCCCCTTGTTCTATCACTGTCAGACCCTGTAAGAAGTCACTCTCCCTCCTGCTTATAAACTTCCCTCAAGTACTGGAAGGTCACAGTGGGGTCTCCCTGGAGCTTTCTCTCCTCCATGCTGACCACCCCCAGC